TATTGAGCCTCAGGGCATCGAACAGGGTCTGTGTTGTTTGGTCAGCTTGTAAGTTTGTTTTTTGTATTTCGCATTTTTTGTGGGGAACGGATGCATAGCAGAGGTGTTCGGACCAAGCAGCAGGACTAGTATGTAGGTTCGATATTTTAGATGATAGGCCTGTAGCCTTTTCTCAGTTGTTATTTGCAGGTTTGTCGGTCTGTTTGACTAGAGCCACCCGACCTCAAGGAGGCGGATAGGCCCACGACAGTTTTGCATTTCCCACTATTAATAGGTAGACTCAGGACGTAGTTCATCCTCTCAAGATCCACGGTTTAGCCCGTCTATTGTGACGATGATAGGCGTCCGCCGTGGTTGTTTGCGGTACGAGGTGGTTCTTGGGTTGTTGGAATGAAGTGAGGAATCCTGTTTTGTGTACTGTGTTATACTTGTCTACTTCGTCACTCCGGTGACCGTGTCTGATTGATCTCGAACCTTTGTTTGACTTCGAACTCCATGAATGTTTCCACATAACTCATACACTGCGCATGTGAACTTACCTAGGGAGGCTTACCGGGTTGAAGTGAGCGTGTTTTGCACCTGTCTGGTTACTCACTATTTCGCATTTGGTTACTTGTCACTATTGGCGGCTATCGGCTACGTTCGAAGCTTTCGAGGACGCACAGTGGAAGTGATTTTGAGGCTGACGCGTTGAGTGAGCGTATGCACCGTGTTAGCTCAAGATGTCGAACTCGGATCGGTGGGAAGAGAACCGAGGATCTAACGATGGAGACCGAAGACAGTATAGGGCGCCAACGTGTTTCAATTGCCATGAACCTGGGCACTACGCAAACCAGTGCCCGCATTGTGACAGACGATACTATTCAAGTCGGCCGTCAACTTCTACCAGCTCCGTGAGACCTAGATCTCCTCGAAGATATGAAGCAAGGAGGGCACACTCTCCAACAAGAAAGGACTTCGAATTACGAGAGAAGTTGGTAGAACTGACACATGGCGTGGCCATAATGAGAGAGCACATCGATGCAGAAAAGGCAAAGAAGGAGGCTAAGGCTAGGAGGAAGTTGGAGAGAGAAAGGGAGAAGGAGGAGGAGAGACGCAGAATGGAGGAGGAGGAGGCTCGGAGAGCAGAGGAAGAAGCTCGACGTGAAGCTAAGCTACAGAAGAAACAGGAGAAGGCCAAGAAGGAGGCTACTGCCAGAGCTGAGATGAAGAACGAAGTTACCTTACACGCAGCGATGATGATGAGCGAAATAAAGGATGATTGGATCCGCCAATGGAAAACTTCGATGATGCCGGCCACTGTGGTTGGAAACAAGGATGAAAAGGGGAAGAAGAGAGTCGAATATGGCTCAGACGCAGGATCATCTTCCAGATGCAGTAGCGAGGATAGCGAGACTAGCGTCACTCAAGAGTTGAGTGGGAAGACTTGACAGTTGTGCATCACCGAGAACGTAAGAGGGAGGAGGATGTCCCGCTGGAGGGTAGCCCACCAATGGAGCTACCTCCAAAACGGACTCCACGCAAAGGGGGGATCAAGATCACCGAGCCATGCGAGAGGGTGACGAGATCTAAAGCGAGGAGGAAGGGTGTCCGTACACCGATTCCAGCGAAGAGGAAGACACCAGTTAAGACACCGATCACCAAGACTTTGAAGTCAGCGAAGACGAAGGCCCCGCCAAACGGCCGTATCACACCAGCGAATAAGGCGTTATTGCGACTGCGATACCGAGACACGATCATGAGGGAGTTGAAGGATTGTGATGCGGATGAGTTACAACGCATCTGCAAAGAGGAAGGACTGCATTACGATGGAAAGATCGATGCCATTCTCGACATTGTCGAGTATCGCTCCAGGGTACGTTTCGCCGGAGAAGAGAGGGAGGTGGAAGTTATCCCTGTCTCGGATTCTACCGATGCTGGCCCTGAGAATGTGCCCGAGGGCACTCAGGGGTGATGTGACATCACACCGACAAGATGGTGGGAACTGTGCAGACACATCACAAGTCTCCGTYGTYCAGCTAGCACYGTTGACCGTAAGTTAGACCRTCTGCTTCGTTTGACTGTTGTGATTCTAGCCTTAACTAATCAAGTGAAATGGCTTGGCAGGKACGTGAGYCAGTGGTTGCTATTATATGAGGCGCAYGRGATTGKTTTTTTGGATCTTTGTGACGTYRTATATGTAGCGGTCTCCCCGTATTGTAAGCATTGTTATGTCGGGAAAACATCTCRGGATTGTATTACMCGMTGGAGRGAGCACTTGTACGGGGTTCGCAAACRCACRCAATCACATTTCCATCGCTGGATTGCATCATTTGGGACGGGGAATTACGTYCTAATACCAGTAGATGTTCTCGAGGGAAAAGATTTGGGAAGGCTAGAAGAACTATACATTAGCAGATRGTCACKTTTTCTTAATTYAGCAGGCGTGTGTMTAAAGAAATCGAGGAAGAGTAAATTMGGGAGGAGGGAAAGGATCCGAGGGAAGAAAGTCGCATGCGATAAGCAGCCAGCCTACCGCRAGATTAATCCGATACGGTTTGTCTCGGTGACTAATGGCCTGAGTTTTCTGRACCTCAACTCTTTTTTGGATCATATTCTAGATATCGGTAATCAACGATGCGTAATTCGTACGGATGGTGGGAAGGATTGGAATCCGAATTGGAAGAAATTGTCTAAGAATTTCGGGGAAAGTAAAATTAAATGCTTCTCTCGTACCGTAGCATTGAAGGATTGTAAGAGCCTGTTTGAAAAGGGCGGTGTCTTTGAGATTCTCTTTGTAAGC